ACTACTACTACTACTACTCCTACTCTACTTCTACTACTACTACTTTTTCCTTTTACTGATCACACTGCTAGTACTACTTCTACGACGACGACCACCACCACAACGGTGGCTGCTGCTGCTGCTGCTGCTACTATAAGGAGTGCTTCTACTAGTACTACTAGTACATTGTGCCGGGAAGTTAGAACCTTGATTTGTTCCGGTCATCTTGCTCGGCCACCTGGTCATTTGGTCATCTTGGGTTGTCAAGATGACCATATCATCTTGCAACCAATTGCCTAGTGTACCGTTCACACCTAGATGACCAACATCTTGACCTCCCCCTTCAAGTGGGGCAAGATGACCGAGGTTGCTGGTCATCTTGCACAATCTTGAAGATACATGTCGGGCCGGTACAGCGAGACCCAAGCTTGATCTGGCGGTGCTGGTGCTGGTGCTATTGCTGTTCTGTCGCTGCTGCTGTTATGCATATTAGTGCTGGCGGCAGCGTTGGTGGTGGTGGTGGTGGTGGTGGTGGTGGTGGTGGTGGTGGTGGTGGTGGTTGCGGTTGTTGTTTGTCGCCTCGGCAGGAGCAGAACCAGCAACTAGCGCAGAAATCCCAACAGCAGCAGTGATGGTAAAATTGTACGTGGCAGCAAAAGTGATGGCAGCCATGCTGGACTTGTCACACTATCCAGGCCCGTCCATCATGAGCCATGGACCAGGACCGCCGATGCATGCTGAGTGATCTTGGGTCTCTATTGCATGTGCTCGGGCTGTTGTCCACTGCAAGCGCATCAGGCCTGCGACCTGACATTCACTGGAGCGAAGGATGACACCTAAAGTTTGGTTCCAAGGGGCCTGTCGATGACTTCCGGGAGTGAGGATTTCCACACAGCCACAGGCATGGTACACATGGCAGGCATAGACTGGCAGAACCACAGGTTGCATCTTGTCCAAACCACACATGATAGTCTTGTTGCAGTCTTTTCCAAACTTAACCAAACCACTGCAAGTTCGTTTGGGTGCCCCTTGGACCTTCAGGACACCCCTTGGCCGGTCAAATATCTTTTTTCGTGACTCCCGGCCGCTCGGCACGGCATGTTGTTGCAACTCGGGAGCTCTCTCTTGCATGTGCCTGGCGAGGCTTCAGTGTGGCTGGTCGTGAGATCCTTGAGCCACCGGGTAGCTGCCAGCGAGGTGCTATGGTCTCAAGTACGGTGTCGAAAGAGGCAAAGCCTTTGGGACATGGGTGTTTTTTTTCGCTGGTGTCACTGCCATCCTGGTGGGCGCTTGAAGAGTTCCCCTTGGAAGTTTACTCCATCAGCTTTCAGACTTCCGGTTCAACATACAGTCTAATCACGCCCGTCATTTGGCGATTCATGCCCCATCATGTGGTGATTCCGGTGCATCATATATCTTAATCTGCCCTGTCATTTATATAATTGCAGAGGATAACCTCGATTTTCCGACAGTTTCATCAGCGGCGCAGCAAACACAATGATCGCATGATGGGTTTCAATGAAGGAAACACATATACTTTGAAGCAAGCTTGCACTGCTTAAAACTAGCGGGGGGGTGGGGGGGGGGGTGCAGCCCCCCCATTGCAAACAGGATGCCCACACGATAGGATTGAAAAACACTCACATGCTTTGAAGCAAGCAAGCACGGTTAAAAATAGTGGTGGAGTCGGGGGAGCAGCCCTCCAGAGTGCTCGCACTATGGGTTTCAAAAACGACTCACATGCATTGAAGCAAGCTCTGATAGGCCTCTACTTCGGAGCCCTAAACTTGAGCGAAGCCAAGAGGCCTCATACCTTTTGACTGTAAGCCGTAAACTCTGTCGACAGTCTTTGATCCCCTGCCTGTGGAGGCATCGCTGCCCTCTTCGCCGGTGCCTGGCGCTTCTCCGAGCGAACAGCCGCCGGTGGCTGGGTCAAGGACATATCAACAGCCAGTTTCAGGAGCGAAGCAGTCTCGACTCAATATAAGTCAAAATCAGCAGCAGCGGCAGCAGGCAGCAGGAGTAGGGGTAGGAGCTGGAGTAGGAGTGGTAGTAGGAAGAGTAGTAGTCGAAGTAGCAGTCGTAGTAGTAGTAGTAGTAGTAGTAGCAGCAGTAGCAGTAGTAGTTGTTGTTGTAGTAGTTGTAGTAGTCGTCGTCGTAGTCGTCGTCGTAGTAGTAGTAGTAGTAGTAGTAGCAGTAGCAGTAGTAGTTGTTGTTGTAGTAGTTGTAGTAGTCGTCGTCGTAGTCGTCGTCGTCGTAGTAGTAGTAGTAGTAGTCCTAGTGGTTGTTGTTGCTCTTGTGACAGTACCTCAGCGAGTGCACGATAGCGGAAGCGCTTCAGGCACAGGTGCCAGTGCCATGACTTCAAGACAGCCCCGTGTTTAGCTCAGACATCAAGCGCTGCTCCCTCGGCTCGGACAGCCTCCAACACATCATTCAACCAAGAGTGGCAGCTCGTGCGTTGCTCGACGGCTAGCTCTGCAAGAACCCAAACAAAAATTGCGACAAATGATCTTTCATTCAGATTCACACCCAGCTGTAGCAGTTCACTTCTGATTACTAAGACATGGCTAAGGCATCCACCGCCATTTGCTCCGACCACTTCGCGTGCCCTGCACCTGACAAGGACCATCACCGCGGTCATAAATAGCATCGCATCATGCTGCGCTTGCCATGCTCATGACCAGAATCATGACATCGATGCTGTGTGCTCCTTAAGTTTTTGTTGCTGCTACTGCTGATGCAATGTTACAGCGCCTACTACTGCTAACACTGCTGTTGCTCCTGCTACTCCTCCTACTCCTACTCCGACTACTTCTCCCTCTACCACTACGACCACCACCTCCACTACCAACGCCACTTCTCATTCTGCTCCTCTGCCGCCTCCTCCTACTGCTACTGCTGCTGCTGCTGCTACAGCTACTGCCACTGCCGCCGCTACCACCACTGCTGCCAACACTGACTGCAGCTGCTGCGGCTCCTACACTCCTACATCTACTCGTAGTTCTAGTACTAGTACCAGTGCTAGTGTTAGTGCTCGTCCTCTTTCTACTAGTACTACTACTACTACGACGACGACGACGATTACGACTACGACTACGACTACGACTACGACGACAAGGACGAGGACGAGGACGAGGACGACGACGACGACGACTACTACTACTATTACTACTACTACGATCAGCCTTCAGTTTCAGCCTCATCACCTGCAAGATTTTCAGCCGATAAGTTGCAGCCTTTTCTGTGCAGGTCAATGTCATTATGCTGGGCCTTGATGCAGCCTCTTGGTGGCAATGACATAATGATACGTATTCAGCACTGCAGTATACTGGTCTGGCTGTGGCAAATTGCATTTGTAGCAGATTCATATATGTGGTCTTCAAGCAATGAATGGCCTTCGGATACATGGGCTTCATAGTTCCGAAGTGACACTACACGTTGCGTTGCTTCATCAGCCGATCTGAAACTCCTCGACTGGCCTTCACGCGAGCTCCCTAACCGACCAGAAGCTGACTTCGCGCAACAAGAAACACTCAACCTGGATCCTGGATCCTGTAGGTACAGAAGCTCTACTGCTACAAGTCTTCAACTCGCAGACTTGCGGATGTTGCTTTTTCTCATTCCAAGCCCTTCCGCGACGTCAAACCCGTCATCCCTACATTCGGGTCCCGGACAGGCCGCATGTAATAAGAGGAACTCTGAACATTTCTCTACGCAAGCTACTACGGTTCCGGACTAGGAGCAAGCCGAATTCCGCTATGTTCGGCTCTTCTATGAATTCACATCTGAGGTTGTTGGTCTGAAGTTCACTGTTTGAGGTTGGAGGCTTTCCTTCCTGCATCAAGATGTGGAGAGGCCGGCAAGACGACGATCCTCTACAAGTTAAAAATCGGGGAGATAGTGTCGAGCCTTGGCCGCTGTTCGACGTGGCATGATTTTGCACAAAGCGGCCCACTGTGCCGTCTCAATATGCTACTCTTCGATGCGTGTCGTCGTGTCTGGACATATCACAGCCAAATCTGATAGTGTTACCGTCTGTCTCATGGAATGGGTCGTGGGCTATGTATCTCAGCTTACGTCACATGCGGACACACGACCATGTACTGTTGAGTGTTTGATGCAGCGAGGGCCCATGCCGGTCTCGCCTGAAGCATGTGCAAATTTGGTTGCTAGTCGCTCAAAAGCAACTGCGCACTTTGTCCCGACATTTGCGTCCTGTCTTGTGCACTGACTGGCGGATTTGCGTTTCAGCCCAGTTTACACCATTGAGAGCAGCTGCCCACCTAGGTGTTGGGAAAATCATCTGATTGTCTCGTGTATGAGCACGTAGAGGCCCGCAGATTCAGACGTGGACTGGTCAGGACTGTCCCGACCATTGGCTTCAATGTGGAGAATGCTTCATGACAGCATCTTAGGCTGACTTCAACCTTCGGCTTTTCTGTAGGAGCAAAGCTGAGGCATCATGTGGATTTAGTAAAACCGGGATGGGTGAAACCTCCAACAAAGTGGGACCAGCAACCGGTGTCGTGTGAACCAAGCGGTGGCAGGGTCAAGCAGGGTCCCTGCAGGGGCATTCGGGGGTATCAGGGCTTCAAATTCCATGTTCTCGTGATGCAATGGTGTTGCAGAGTTGCAGAACCTTGAAGATGACGCGCCATTGTCCTCGTGTCTCTGCTCATAAGCGCTTCGCCCCCAGCCAGCACATCCTGGGCTGCAAAGCTTAGGGCATCAGGACAGAGCGGAAAAGTGGATGTGAAGCTCCAAAAAAATGCACAGGCCAACAAGTCGTCTTCACTCCAAGCCACCTCGGTACTCGAACCTGCTGCGAGGTGCACTATGGTAACATCAACTTCTGCGTATGGGATGTGGGCGGCATCGGGCTCAAGCATGCTTCGGAAAGGTAGAGAATGGGAAGCGAGGTTGAGCAGCTATCAGATTTGGGTTTCGGGGGGGTTCTTCGACCAGCTGAGGTGTGTGCGTTTTGCGGGGATCCGGCTTCCGGCAGTTGAGGGCGAAGTGAGCAGAGCAGCCTCACCAGAGGTGCGGCACCAGTCTCTACTGTAGTACTCCTGACTACATGTTATCGTACTGAGTGAAATATAGATTTCTTCTTCGGCATTGGACCTTGAATCGTGCATGTTTGCAACATGTCTCAGAACCTCGAATTCGACTTAGACTTCGTGTGCACCGGATGTTGCCAGTTTGTAATTTCATGAAAATTCCGGGCTTTAGCTAACTCTGGCTCGTGAGGGAGTGTACAAAGGTTTCTTGGTGAAACATCCGATCCCTTCTCAATCCGGAACTTGAAATCCCAAACTCTAAGCCATGTCATACATGCTCCTGTAGAATCGCCAACGCGAAGTTTCAAAGACCTTCGCTTCGCGACCAAGGCCAGGAGAAGCTCCGAGGACTGTGGCGACACTACTACAAGGCCGCCCGGCCCAAACTCAGCCTCTCTTGCGCTTCGTTGAAGAAACTTGTGTCTTTTGAGCTCCTGACTGCGGGGTCCCAGAAGCCCCGGGCCGACCCGGGGCTTTGACATAGCTTGAGAGTGGCACCATGTGGCACCTGATGTAAAGAGGAAGCAGCAACTCTTTTTAAGTTGTGCCGGTGTGTATGCATGCACGTCTGCGTGCTTGCCAATGTAGGTATGCGCATACGTGTACGCGCACACACACACACACATGTACAAAGACATACATACATGCGTACAGGCTTGCAGGCACGCAGGCGTACAGGCATACAGGCAATCATTGCATTCATTCATTCATTCATTCATTCATTCACTCACTCACTCACTCACTCACTCACTCATTCATTCATTCATTCATTCATTCATTCATTCATTCATTCATATATATATATATATATGTGTGTGTGTATACACACATGCATACACATATACATATACATACACATACGCATACACATACACATGCATATATATATATATATATGTATATTCACACACCTACGCATTCATACATACATTTAGATGTATATAACTGTGTATATATACACATACACAACGCTCTCTCTCTCTCTCTCTGTCTGTATGTAAGGGGGGCCTACAACAGAAACTTATAAACTAGGATCGGGTTCGCAGGGCTCGATGCCACGGGCTAGATGAGCACACGCATGGGCCGCGAGTGAAGACTATTACATAACTGAAGCTGCAAGTGTTCCAGGATCGTGTGTTTGTGGGAATAGGCTCCAGAGATGTACCATCGGTTAACAGAGGCCATTCTTGCCTGTTCCTTTTCCAGACATGTATCTATGTCTGGACCACCATGCAGGGAGGGAATGCCCTCATCTTCGTCCTGGACAGTGCTGACCACGACAGGCACGCAACATACCCGGCAGATCAGTTTGCCGAGTGGAGAAGGCATCAAAGTCTCATCGAACATCGTGTCAATCGAGTCTGGGGCGTGGTACCAAAGAGAGAACAGGAAGCACCTATTTCCAAGCAGTCGCATGCCTAGGGCCTACACGATGTCCACAGAAGGCTGCAATGGGTATTGGGATCGCTTTAGCAACACCTGTCTAGCTAAGACTAAGTCCACTCACACTTCGTAGTCTTGGACCCATACCTGCCGATGAAGCTTCCCAGCACCCATGTCATGCATGCTAGCGTGGTAGATCACCTCGTGAGCTATGACATCCATAGCAAGCATTGTATAGTAGTCTTCCAGATTGAACTATGTATCATTAGCCCTACACAGCGATATGCTGTACTAAGCTCGTTGGTTTCGAAATCTCGTGGGGCCAGGCTTCCACAAGCCAAAGAGGCACTCCTCTCGATTCTAAAGGAGGAGGCTTGAACGGATGTTGACCGGGGCAGTTTATTTTTGTTGGGTAAGGGGCTCTAAAGGGCCCGCACTTTTTTTTTTCCTAGTGTTGGCGGTCCCCGGCGGCCCTTGGTAACATTGGCGGTAATATAGTGTAATACGCCACTGTAATACACCTTCTGTTGCTATATTGTATGCCGCTAGAAAACAATGTAGTACAGCATACTACAACACGTAGCATATCTTCTTGTAGTCTATGCTAATGCAAACGATATGCAGAAAACAATATTACATAATGCATTATAATGTGC